ATGTCCAAAAACCAACTTTCACAGAACAGCTTGATCATACTCATCCCATCACACTTATTGAATACTTACACAAAATATTTACCAAAATAATAATTAACAGACTTAACAATATAATGCTTAGATATTCTATTCTTTTATCTTATAATTATATAGCCTTACCTTTTGACTTTATGATATAGCCAATTCAAATGCTAATACATATACAAGATGATACAACCACTAAGACAAAGAAATCTGAAGCTTATCTTAAGACATGTCTATAGTCTATAACTCTGTACATATACTACTACTCAACAAAGCATTGGCTTATCTCTATATCTACAAAATTATTAACCTTATTACAGATATTTTTACCAAAAGAACAAATATAGTTTTAACAAACTTTGAAACTACCAACTCTTATTCTGTACATAATGGACTTGATCAAGGCAAAATCATAACTTCACTTCTATGACATATCTTCTATGATTTACTAATATCAAGAATTGCTAAGCAACATAAGGAATATGAACTACAAACTAATACACCAACTGGCAAAACATACTACAGCAATATCAGCTACCTGGTCTATATGGATAACACCACCTGAATTACACAATATAAATAGCAACTACAAGAAATTATTACAACTGCCAACTTATTTTACAAAATGGCCAATATAACTATTAATTCATACAAATCAATCCTAGCTACAAATACACCTAATCTTAACAAACATATTATTTTTAATAGCTAACAAATAAGCAATATAGACCCAAAAACAACCTTCAGATTCTTAGGATGCTACTTCACATATCTCAAAAACCACAAACATATCTATTACAGAATAACTAAAAAAATCAACCTTGCCTTACACAAATTAAAACTGCAAAAATTACAAATAAACAAATGATCTATATTATAAATGCAGGCATACTTATTTGCTTTGTATATTGTGCATAGAACATATATATTACTGAACAACAATGCAAAAAAATACAAATTAATATACTAGTATTGCTAAAAACAAAGCAATGCTTTCTAGACATACTTTATATTCTATTCTTTATCATCATCAAATATATGCACTTTGCCAGTTATACAATATCTAAAACTAATAACATATCTTAAATCTTACCAAAACTATTAATCATTTTAACTTCAACAAATTAACACTAGCTCTAAGACTCCAACAACTGCAAAATACAACAAATTGTAATATATAAATTTTGCTAAATACATCTGTATTTTTAACACCTTAATACAACATACTAACTGCAAAAACAATTCTCAGTCTACACAAACTACAGATACAGAATATAAATAACACTAACCTATAGCCAATTCCAAAAGTTCACTCAGACAACTCAATTAACTTTATACTTAATAATATGCTTTGCATATACCAAATAAAAAAGCAGCTTAACAATCACAACATCCAAGTTATCAAACAATTCTGCAATTGTAACAATAATTAAATACTTATTTGAGAAGCCTTTTATTACAATATACAAAAAATATCAAGAGAAAGAAAGCCCAAATGGTTTACAACAATAACTAATACAATTGTTGCAACTGAAAACCTGCATAGTCTACTTATAAAGCCAAACCATTTACTATACCTATAACAACAGCTATTAAGCCAAAGTAGATAATTACCTTTATATCACAATTAATACTTGGCAAAATTACTAGAATAAATGACCAAAATATCTTTATTGTTTACTGGAAAATCAATAAAGAGAACAACAAAACAACATAATGCAAAGAATGCTTACAATCTTTTCACTTAACTAAAACCTGCAAGATTACTGTGTTTAAAAACTTTATAATATTAACCCAAATAGACAGTAAAAAATGACTTCATGCAAACCTTTAAGATATACAGAAAACCAACAAAGAAAAGCCTAACACCTATACTAAATCTAAAGCAACTATTTCAATATAACTTTCTAAGAAAAAAGAAGATGCATATGTTCAAAAAATTCGTACTTTAATCTTATTTATATAAATAAAATTGTGAAACATATATTAGATACTTAAAGAAAAAAAACAAATACAAGCTAATATTTATACAACCAAAATACCTAACAACCCTTCAACAGTGACATGAAAAATTATTAGAAATTCCTATACAATATTAGTCCAAAATGCAATCTGGCCATCAAATATATATGTTCTATATATAGCAACTGCACTACTTTTAACTATCTGTCCAAACAACTGCATACTTGAGTTATATATAAAACATTAAACCTATACTCAAGACCTAATGACAACTATAACCACTCCTGTTCACTGAACAAAGGCATTGTATAATACCCCAAATTGGATACACAAAATTAGAGTTAGAATTATAAAGACAAACAAATATATCTTCTTATAATCTATTCACAAGGCCAACCTAGAACAATGCAATTATATAAATAAAATATTTACTATAGACATCTCTTATAGTAAAATTCTTTACAATATATACATTCCATTAATACAAACAGCACTATTAAACACAACATCAGAAGACTTATTAGACACTTACAAAATGCTAAAGCATTAGCAAGATGGCATTTACAAAACCAAATACAAGCTTGAAAACAATATCCAATTGACTGGAAAATGACAACTCAATTTATAAGTTATAAGAACAAATTTACTGCAAGAAGCACATATACTAGAAATAACAAAAAATATGTTTTTTTATATTTTTATGTTTTATAACATGTTTTAAACTATTTTATATATTTTTTATTAAAAAATATATTATTAAAAAATATAATAATTTTCTAATATAATAAACTTTAATATTAAAATTAAACTTTTTATTATAATTCATTAAACTAATTATTCTTTACAATATTTTTTTGAATTATAAGATTTTGAGATACAGCAACTAATTTTTTAACTTTATTATTATCTAATTTAGCATACAATTTGCTATAAATAAATCAAAACTGTAACCAAGCTAACAAAGTTGCTATTGATAATAATTTAACTTCTAATTTTACAAACAAAAAATATTTATGCTCAAAATTTAATTTTTACTAACTAATAAAATTAGAATATTTAATTAATTTCCAAAAGTAAAGAATTTAAAAATTCATTGAATTTTGTAATATTTTTTTAAATTGTTTTTATAATATAAAATAAAAATACTTACCATCTTACTGAGCTTTAATTTATTCAGATTTTTTATTATTCAACTTAATATGTAATGCAAATAATTTATTTTTTACTTATTGAATTTTATACAATGATTAAAAGTTAAAATAATTATACTATATAAAATAAATAATTATGTTTAAAAAATGTTTATAATTAATTTTTAAATAACTACCAGTATGTTTAAAAAAAACTAGTATATTAATTTATTAACAATGAACTTTATTATTAATAAAAATTTTTATAGGTTTTTTTAACTATTATATATATTTTTTTATTGAAACTTGTATTTGCATTAATTATTTGATAATTGGTAAAGAAAATAATTATACTTTATTTGAAAATTGTTAATTATTATATCTATATATTATATAATAAATTTTATAATATGATTGGTCTGTAATAAATCATATATTTTATTTAAAAAAATTGATGTTTTAAAACATGTTTTAAAACATATTGTTTTAAAACATTTGCCATTTCTAACACATATTCCAAAAGTTACAACTAAAGTTTTTCAAAATTAAAATACTTTTAGAAGAACTATCTATATACAAAAACCTAAATAATAAATATCCTAATATATATTCAGATTCAATATGTCTATGATGTAAAAACTACATTGAAGACAATAACTATTGGATTATATGCTTTGCAAATAGCATACTACTACAATAAATCATAATTAGTACACTTGATATTACTTATACTAAATTTCAAATTCTGCTAGAAACAACAGCATATACTAAATGCAATACCAAAGTTAACTCAGTACTCTTAGGTACTATTTCTACAACAAAGCTATATAACCTAGCCAATAATCAACATACATTATATTTCTATTATAAACTTTTCAAAAAAATATATGAACAAATATAAAAACATAGATGTATCAACATACTTTATATCTAAAACAAAATCCAAATGCTATAACTCCAAACAACCTACTGACTACTCAAGCCCAACTCTATCCTATTACAAACATTATACAAAATAAATATAACAAATGGCTCTCAAATTTTATTTAACAAAACATAACTACAACAAACATTATATACATAGACTAGAAGGCTATAAACTTTCTTAGCAAAGTCTAGGTTGAAAATAAATTAGCTTTAGTTTCTAGTTCCTTATAATATTGTATTTACTTACTTTTAGTAAAAATTTTAAATAATGATAATAAAGAAATAGAGGCAAGGGTTTACTTTTTTTAAAAAAAAATAAAAAAATAAAAAAAATCTAAATTAAATAAATAAAAAAAATATTTTACTAAATATTTTATTTAAACTTAAAAAATTTTAATATAAAAGTTTAACTAATTCTATACTTGAAATAAAACTGAAATCAAATTAATGTTATTAATAGTAAAGGAAAAAAATTCTCTAATAACTAAAATATTAATTAAATGTTTGTAAAAGTTTCAACTTTTTGTTATGTTCATAATTGTTCTAACCAAATAACTCAAGAATTTATTATAAAAGAGATGATAGCAATTGTTAAAACAGATAATAATGATTCTATAAAAGTTGCCTTTCTTAAAACAAAGATTTTTATTTCTATCAATAAAATAGTTACTTATTACATTAAACAGTTTGAAATTAGTAAGGTTGTGTTTTTTAAAGAAAAATTTATTAGTTATAAAAACTATTATATTATATATTATTTAAAAAATAATTATTTAATTGCTATTTTTAATAATTAAATGAATAAATTACATATTTATCCTATTTTAATTATATATCAAAGGTTAGTGCTACTTTTATTAAAGTTACAACTTTAGATTTTGATAACATGTCTACAACTAAATAAATATTGTAATTACAGATTTTACTACACAAATAGTAAAAAATATAGAAGGAAATATGATACTAAAATTCTATGTTAAAGAAAAAATTGGTGAAAAAGAATCTTCTGACTTTTGGCTTGAAGTTAAACACAATGCAAATTACTTATACTTATCAAATAAAACAAATACTATTAATTAGACTAGTTATTGCACTAAAGCACTTTTAGTTAATATAATTAATTACCAAGAACCTAATATTAACACTAATATAAATAATAAAAAGATATTTGAAAAATATATCTTAATATTAGAAAACTTAACAATAATCACAACAAATAATAATATGATTACAAGTACACAATCAGTTAATGTTCTATGGTTATTTTAAAAAAATTTATCTCTTATACTTGCAAAATAATTATTCTATTTGTCTAACTACTTAAAAACTTCCACAAAGAGGACATGAAATCTTATCAAAAATTGGTGTAACAACTACTAGAAAAAGCCAAAACCTTCAAGCTGTCTTAGAAGCAAATCCTATTCCAATTACTACTAAACAAACAAATCAAAAAATAAATAATAGTTAAGTTAATTAAAGTAGTATAACTAATTTTATTAAATCATAAAATTATTGTTTTATATATTTTTTATCTTTATATCATAATAATAAATATTTATTTATATATTATTTTAACTCTTTAAACAAGGGTGTGGCAACTTAGTAAAGTGGATAAGTTGTCATACTCCCAAGTGGTAGGTTGTAAGTTCAAACCTACTGATAATAAAATTTGGATAATCATCTATATAATATATAGATAGTATTATAGCAACAACATTCTGTTGATCAGTTGTGATAGGATATCTGTAACTATGATTGTACCAGCATGACTGCAAGGTCTGGGGCATCTATATTAACTTGGTTACACAAAGAAATACAAACTGATACCAGGCAATGCAAACCTAAAATAAGTCCTTGGACTGTGTAAATCTATAAAACAAGAAAGCTAGAGCTCACTTGGAAATTCTGAGCATAAGATAACATGGATCTTTAGTGATATTACTGTAAAGGCTAAACTTAGGAAATGAATGCCAATGTGGAAGAATTAGTCAGGCAAGAACCTCAGATAAGGGGTACTACCAACCAGGCTATCAGATTTCAGACTAGAGGAAAAAGATATTATGTCAGCTTCAATATACCAAGAACAGGTTATAGTTTTTTCAGCCTATTTGGATTAAAAGTCTGAAGTTAAAGCAGGGGTATATTAAAAATACTAGAGATATGTTGTGAAGTTAGTGCCAGAGTTTGGGTGAACTCTGTAAAGATAGCTCATGTTAGTGTTTTAAAAATATATAAATAGTTAACAACAGAGACTTCCTGTGCCTTATTGGCAGATGATGTACTTTGAAATATGTAATGGCCTGGGAACTAGTACAAAAAAGATAGATACTATACTGCTCAGATGGTATAATGGTTAAATATATACAGGGGTAAGTTAAGATTCCAATATAACAGGACAGATAATTAAAATATTTAAATAGATAATCTTCTAGTAAAAATAGGTATGACATCTAGTATAGAACCTTAGAGCAGACTACTTAAATAGGCAACTAAAAGTTGTATATATAACTAGTTGTACTCTTATCTTTATAAAAATAGTTGTAATAGCTAACCCAATAAAAGTTAATAAAGTATCACTATAAGTATGACTTTTAATAAAAAAAAAAAAAAACTCTTTAAACAAAAATAATAAAAACTATTGTGATTACTTTTCTTTTTTTTAAAAAAAAAAGTATTTTATAAAAAATACAAATAAAAAAATTAAATAGATCAAACTTATAAACTAATATTTGCATATTTTTATAAGCTTTATTTAATTTAAACCATTAATAAATAACAATATTCTATATATATTATTATAGAGGTCTGTGAATTGTCTATTTTTGAGACCTGGCCCAGCCTGCATTTAGGATTAAAATTTTTTTCTGGCCTGGCCCACCCTGCATTTAGAATTACTATTTTTTTGCCTGACTGCATTTAGAGTTACTATTTTTTTGCCTGCCTGATCTGGCTTGACTCAGCCTACATATATTAAATTTTTCCTTTAGCCTAGCCTGGCTTACAAAAATTTTTTATATAATTTTATAAAATTTTAGACCTGCACTGGCCTACAATTATAATGTTTTGCAAATTTTTCAGCCTGGCCTGGTTTGTAATTATAAAATTTTGCTTTAGGCTCAGCTTGGCCTGGTCTGCAATTATAAAATTTTGCTTTAGGCTTAGCCTGGCCTGCAATTATAAAATTTTGCTTCAGGCCTAGCTTGGCTCACAAAAATTTGCAGGTCAGACCAAACTGGGCCAGGCTGTAGGACCTGATGCAGGCCTTTATATTATTATATAAAAAAAATTAAGTATATTATAAATATCACATTAAATTAAGAAACATAAACATAATATGTTTTACTTTAATGATAATAAAAAATTATTAATAATTAATAATGTTTACTCTAATAATGTAATATTTAAAATTTTATAAACTAATTAATTTGACAAATTCGATTAATTTGTTTAATATATTTTTACTTAAAAATTTATTTATTTTTAATAAAAATAAAAATAAAACAATGCTCAAATATTCTTAAAATAGAACCAAAAATTAAAATCATATATTAAAATAATTTAACAATATATAATAAAAAAAAATTTATATAAACTTTCAACTCTTTAATCAATCCAACTTTATGCATACTTCTTTAAACTAAGCTCTTTTATCAAAAAATTTATTATAGCATATTATCTTTATAACATTTATAAATTGAAAATAATTATAGAAATTTACCTAATTATATAAGTCATTCTATGAATTATAAACTCTATGTTGCATTATGACAACTTACAAACTTCTTAAAATATTATACACTGAAGACTATCAACAAAACTTCAAAGACTATATTTTAAATTTCAAACAATATTTTAAAACAATGGCAAAGGAATATATATCAATTCTGTAACTCTCTCTATAGATTGTTTATACCAAATTTTTGCTAAAAACATTTAATTATTTCTCAATATCTTATTAAATAAACCTTACTTATACTTCTAAGTAAAGTTGCTCAGCCCACTTTTCTCCTTTTAGGCAACCAAATTTTATGTTTCTGCAACACTTGGCTACTGAGAAAGTTCCAAAAACTAAAATATTTGTTTTTGTTTATTTTCAATATATTTTACTAATTAAATATATCTTGTTATCTATTAGAAAAAGAGCAAGCTCTCTGTTCTGGTCATTTTGATATATATTATACTGCAAACAAACCAAAACTCACTGAGATATTTGAAAAAAGTGAAACTAAAATCTGTCTTTGCAGGTTATTTCATTGGTAAATTTAGGAAAATTCACTAGGTTGCCTTGGAAATTTTACTTTTCTGGCGCCCATTAAAATTTCCTAAACATCCAAGTAGGCTTAACACAGGTCCCACATCTCTCAGATTCTTTTTAACTTATTTGCAAAGCCCTTAAATTAGAAAATTTTATCTAATAATCAGATTATTCGATCTGATTTGAAGATATTTTATATTAGTACAAACACCACATTAGGATAGTTACACAAAATGCCTAACATTATCACTGTTGAACCAGACTCTTTTGACCTAAATATTCTTCAGAATAAATATAATAGTCAAACACTAGTTACTTTAGACAAAAACTGTAAAAATTTTAAAGTTCTATTATCCAATTTTAACCCTATACTATGTAATACTTACAATGGCTAACATTTCTTTCCCAGCCCCACTCAACCTATTATCACTAAATGCTTCTGTGAAAAATACCATACATATTTCACTTCATAGCATTTATCTTTGCCATCTATTCTTGATACTACCTCTACAACTATAATTGAATCATTCAATTCAATGGAAATTGACCTTGATGCAAACTCTACAAATTCTTTTACAATGTACCTAAGTCATCTTTTCAACCTAAACACAACATCATTCATTCATTTCCCAACTGTTACAATAACATTAAACAAGATACCAATAATCAAATCTCTTTTCTTGCCTTTTCTTACCATGCACATACATGTATTATTTGCAAAACCAAAGATATATCATGTATTATGCTAACTGACAATAAGCACTCATTAGATCCAAAAGCACACATATTCAAAACGAAGTAGGTGGCTTTCCAGCTCACCCTTAATGCATCCATAAACTTAAACTAAAGATAGCCAAATTCATAAGCTCTATGAACTGGAAACAATGTAGTCTTTATTGTAAAATCAAATGTCTACAATTATCAGCAGAAGATAAGTGTATTCTTTTCAAAAAATTTTTGAACAAACTTCCCAAAAAAGCTAAAAATACAGACAACCAAATAGACAATAACTTTAATACAAAAAATTTTCAAATAACAACAAACAGAAAAAGGCCAATAATAAACAATGTAATCAAAAAGCAAAAACACAAAAATATGATATCTTAAAAGATTTTGACTAGTTCAAAAATTACTTTATTACACCTACTATGCAGCAACACAATAAACTTAACACACCACTAGCTTTACAACTATTTACTATCTTGAAATCCAATCTTAAAGACTTTATTCCTGGACAAATTATTTCAAACAAATTTGATAAAAATAAAAATAGCAACAGACCACTTGCCAAATACTCCTTTAGCTATATTTTTAACAAAATAGCAAGTGAAAAATCTAAGTTCTTGTCAGATTTCATTTTCAACTCAAGTCCTAACTTTGATAAATCAAAACCAATTCTCTTTAAAGCTTTCCATGATACACTCAAAGGCCTACTCTCCAAATTTACAAAAATGTTTTTTACTTAACTGGACTACCTACATATTCTTTAATCACATTATTCTATCCCACCTTACTCAAATACTAACAGATGTAGAGTGGCTATAAATTTAGCCTGTCTATACCTTTATCTAAACTATAAATATAGAACCATTAATTTTGAAGAATTTATAAAAAAACTTGATATTAAACCATTATAGTTCACACTCCACTTTGATATTAAACATAGCTCAAAGCAACTTGAATTTACTATTCAAAATAATAACTAATTCAATATTAATATTTCCCTTAACATTTCATCACTCAAGCCCCATCTTAGAACTTATAAGGCCTGGTTTAAACCCTTTTTTGAAAAATATAGCTTTTAGTTCAACAAAATTGATCAACAGAAAACAAACAATTATATCAAAATGCTAATATCACAAAAACTAACTGAAAAATGCAAAAAATTTTTGCCAAAAACATACCTACTATCAGATTTAATACATACTCTTAAAGAGCATTCTGAAGCAACTTTCAAAGCAGCACTTCATCATATCCACCTTTGCACTAACAAAGACTGTAATCTATTAGCCAA